GAATAATACTATGACGTGATAACGTATGAGACCCTAGTTATTAAGACAAACATAAGACATTGTCTGACTAGGAGGTCAGACAATGTCTCATAGAAATTTCCTGTTTTGGAGAAACGCTGTAGCAACAAAGAGTTTGGATTTCCATTATACATAAAACTATTTTAAAATTACATCTGATTATTCCATCGGTAAATAAAAAAGTAATTTGATAACTAACTTTTTATCATTTAATAAATTTTGTTAAATTTAATCTGTGTTAAAATATGTTTTTTCGCTATGTTTCCAGGCGGCCGTTGAGAATCTAGTGGTGCTACCGACAACGCCTAACACTTCAACTGACGGTGACACCACGCACGACTATGCTGAAATTTATACACCCAGCAGAGGTTTGTAGAAAGATATATATTATTTATATATTCCTTTATCTTATTTTCTACCTCTCCCTTATTTTATACCTTAAATAGTTGTGACCATTTGTTGCACTTGCCTATTCTTCTTCAGTTTTAGCATAAGTTTCCCAATATTGAAAGATTTTTTTAAATTGGTCATGTGGTCATTGGTTTCAATTCAGTTCAACAAAACAATAAAATCTTTTCTATTTATTATATAAGTACCTGTTGTTGCTTTACTAACAAAATGAGACATCTAATATTGATAAGATAATAATTATAGTTAATAGTAATAAATTAATAAAATATTTGAGGCAATAATGTAGCTTATGTACAAAAAGCACGGTTTACATAATTAATCAGTACCTTTACACGTATTTCAAACAGTGGCTCGTTTGTTTCCTGCTCCAAGTCGCATTATTGCGCTTGCATTGCATATATCAAACTAGCCCAAAGCGAACGTTCAAAAGTAAACTTTTTAAAATATATTTGTACTTATTTCTTCTTCCAGAGCGGACCCCAGCGTGGCAAGGCAACGTGAACGTGATAGTTCAGGGCAACAGTCGCGGCGGCTCCTCCACGGGGGACAGTTCCACCTCCGAGCAGCCGAGACCTCCCACTCCTCCCTTACATCGGTTTCCCAGCTGGGAGGCTAAGATCTACCAGGTAATCATTATAGCTGTTATTATTCTATTTCAGTTTATTATTTAGTATTCCCTAGATAAAGGTAGCCAAAACCATAATCATAAAACTGGGAGAGTATGAAAATAATTGCATATATCAGTTTCTGAAAAAATGTGATGTAGAGGCACTTACCTAGGTAGGTACCTTTATTTGTATACTTAGGCCTCAATTAGGTAAAAATAAATAAATGAAAAATAAATAATTCGGTGATCACTGCTCTATGGTTACTAATCATAATATAGTTTTGAAAACAATGCCGTATTCAGACAAATCATTATTTATTAGCCGTGGGCTTGCTGTATGCTTTTAATTTGTTGTTTCAAGTCTTACGGTGGATTTGTATGTTTTAAACGTAACCGCGATAAATGAAAACCTCCAAGAGTTAACAATAGACTTACCGACACCTCAATCTTTTTACTTACTAAGATGTCAAACTTGAAAATCCATTAAAAAAGTACTAATGAATTCTTTAAAGAAGTTTAAGACTAAATCTACAAATCCCTAAACCCCAAAACACACTCACAACTGTGTTGTTGCGGTTGTCATGGGCGGCGCTGTTTGCTTACCATCAGCTAATCAATCCAATCGTTTTCCGTTCCATCACATAAAAAATGGAATTGTAATAAAATTCATTAAACGAAGTTGCTGTAACACTTTTCACTTTGTACTCTAGGTGGCAGACGACGGTCTCCAGCAGTCGGTGGAGGAGGAGCTCTCCCCCCCTCCGTGTCCGCGACCGATGCACGAGTCCACCAGCTACCAGGATATCTCCGTCCCCGTGTACGCCACTGTTAAGGGGGTAAATTACATTTTATTTATTACTAACTTCCGCCAGCGTCTTCGCCCGCGCCGTATATTGATAAAAAGTAGCCTTCGTCCTATTCCGGAGTGTATACTATGCCTGTGCCAAATTTTATCCAGATCCGTCCACCCGTTTTGGTGTGATTGAGTAACAAACATCCAGACATCGTAACTTTCGCATTTATAATATTAGTAAGATGAAGAGGGCGACCAAATAATCATTTATCCAATGTGATAGTTGAACGGGGAATACTCGACAACTACATAGTGAAATTCAATACTTTTTCCAAATGACTAAATCGTCAGTTGTCTATGATTATTTTAATCATGTATATGGGTATCATGGCGTTACGCAAAAAGTAACGCATAAAATAGTATAATTACTTGTTTCTTCAAATAAGTTACAAATATACGAAGTTTATCGTAAACTATTAAACATCGTAAACTATTTAAAATATCGTAAACTATTTAAAATCATATTAATTTATAACTGTTTTACTCAGTTTCAAAATAATTATATGAAAACAGTTTCAAAATAATAGCTTACGTCCGCGACTTCGTATGCGTATAAAAATAATGTATCCCTAGATTTTAAACACAGCAGCGCTTAAAGAGACAACTCGACTAAAATACGTACTCCAATCTTATTTTTATTTTTAGCCTATACAACTCAGGAACTTTGTAGCTGTCTATCAATGAAAGAATTTTGGAAATTTGATTAGTGGTTCCAACGATTACCCCCTACATACAAATAACCTCTTTATAATGTATTCTTATATATATCTATACTAATATTATAAAGAGGTAACATTTCTAAGTTTGTATGTTTGTAAGTTTGTATGTAGGGGGATCTTTGGAACCGCTGATCAGATTGCCAAAATTCTTGCACTGATAGATAGCTACAATGTTCCTGAGAGCTATAGGCTATAAAACATCACGCTACTATCAAATGAAGCAAGTTAAACCGCGCGGGCGTGGATAGTCTATACTATAATATTATAAAGCTGAAGATTTTGTTTGTTTGAACGCGCTAATCACAGGAACAACAAGTTCGAATTGAATAAATCTTTTTTGCTGAATAGATAATTTATCGAGAAAGGCTATATAACATCACGCTATAATCTGTAGGAGCCGAGCAGCGGGTGAAACGGCGCCAGAGTAGCTGTATTAGTATACAGGAGGAATAAGATGTATTTTTTTATTAATCTCTGTGTCGTTGTTCCAGCGTGCCAGTCAGATAAGGTCGATGCCTTTCACGGGCGACTCTTCAGATGACTCGTCAGACGGCGAGGAGTCGATGGGAGTCACCGTCCACAACACCCCTCATCATCAGCTCGTCAACGTCAACCCTATGTATAGTAAGTTGTATAGTAACTTATATTTTTAAACCCGAGATATAAAGTAATAGCGTAGTGGCTTGGCAACAGGTAGCGCAGATCCATACCTACGAGACAAAATGCGTTTTAAATTTTTTGTCATATACCGGCAGACAAGATGTTATTCAGTTGCACACTTGATACAGTGGCTTCGCAACAGATTCTTATGTTACGTGTCGTAACTTCGACAATCAAGTGTGGGAAAGCCAAGCTTCGGCACGAATGGGTCGGCTCGATCGGAGTGATACCACGGCCTCACAGAAAACCGGCGTGAAACAACAACAGCGTTGTTTGTGTGAGTGAAGTTACCGGAGCCCCAATCTTTTCTCTCCCCAGATCCCTCCCACAATCCCTTAATCTCCAAAACCCTAATCCCTAAAAGGTCTACAACGCACTCGTAACTCCTCCGTTGCAGGTGTCCATGGGCGGCGCTGATTGCTTACCATAACGTAATCCGTCTGTTCGTTTGCAGACCTTTTACATAAAAAAAACAAAATCGGCATCGCTATTTGTTGCTGCCCTGTTGGAGATAGTTAAGAGTGGGATAAGATAAGGATTGAGGGTTTGGAGATCGGATAGGGAAGAGAAGATAAGGTTTGGGACTCCGGTAACCTCACTTACACTACCAACACAACGCTGTGATTGTTTCACACCAGCCTTCTGTGAGACCATAGTATCACTCTGATCGAGCCGGCCCATTCGTCCTGAACTATACCTACCTCAGCAACACGAAACCTTTTATATTATCTCAATATCATGGTTCACCCACACTTAAAATTTGTACAATATTATGTTGAATTCTGACATTAGTGTGTAAATATTGAATTCATTAGTTTTTTGTATGTAAATAAATAAATATTTAATTATATAACTTTTGATCAGGTGGACAAACATCAACCCAAATGCCAATAAACAACGTGAACCTAACGAGTACATTACCGGCGGCACTGCAACAGGCGACGGGTGCTCTAGTACTAGCGAGCAATGGCCAGTGCAGTTCGTCAGACACCAGCCTCAGTGCCAGCAGCCCTTCCAAGAGTGTGAAGACCAGCTCCAGTTTAAGTCCTGCTAAACGGTCCAGCAGTGGTTCCCCCAGTAAACAGAGTAAGACTCGGGGTAAGTGAGGATTTATCTTATTAGATTTTTAATGGACTTTAAAAAAATGGTTTTTGGATAGCAACTACTGTCACTTCTTCGCAAAGAAGAATCTTGCAACCAACTTTAAAGCAGAATCTTCAACCTATTTGGGTTAGTTTATATAGCTACACGTTTAGTTTGCATAGCTATAAAAAAGTGACTGTAAAGTGTTTAGTATCCGGCTTTTTGTCTTTTAACGATAGCTTCTAGTTATAATAAAATAAATAAAATAAGCCTTTATTTCTGAGTACCTACCAATTAATTCTTAATTATCATAATTTTTATCTGTTTATTCTCAGTTTGTCTTTCGACATAGGCCTCCTCTAATAGTTTCCACGTATCCCTGTCCCTCGAAACTCTCATCCATAGTGGTCCCACAGCTCCTTTTAAGTCGTCGCTTCTAGTTATATGTATAACAAAAACTCACAATTAGTTAAATGTGATTAAAAATTCTTCGAAGATTACAGTTACAGATTACAGATTAGTATAGTACCTATGAAACAATGAATTTATTTTTGCAAATAGGCCATTAAACGGCACTTTTACACGTAAAATTATATGTAAAAAAAACTAGATTAGCCTGTTTTAGTATGTATCTGTAACCTTAATAGAAATAAAAAAGGCAAGATATTTGTTACGTTACATAATACATGTTATATTCGATAAGTAATATTCGGCTGTGAATGGAAAAAAACTAACACAATTAGTTGTTTTTTAATACGTTATTGCCAAAAATGTTTTTGTAGTACGTTACAAACTCAATGTGATCTACTAAATATTAACATGTCACACAATGTATACACATAACATCAAAACACCAATAACTACTACATAAATTAAATACACAAATAACAATCTCATCTAAGATCTACCAAAAATCTATTTAGTCAGCATTTTACCGTTATCAATGACATAATCGACTCCAGTGATACTCTTAGCCTTATCACTAGCCAGAAACATGATCATATCAGCAACCTCCTCAGCCTCACACACTTTTCCAAGCGGCATAGTAGGGGCTATGGACTCCCAAGGAATATCTACGCCAGAATTCAACAAGATATCAGACACGGTTGGCCCAGGGCTTATATTGTTCACTCTTACTCCATACTTCGCTAGTTGTAAAGCCAACCCTCTAGTCAAATGGTCCACTCCAGCCTTAGAAACCCCATAAGCCATTAAACTAGGATCAGGAAATATTTTCCCAGCAATAGTCGATATGTTTACAATATTTCCTTTAGCCTCTATAATGTGTGGGACAGCTAAATATGTCACGTGTAATAACGATCGCAAATTCGTCTCCATCAACTCGTCGAACGTTTCTAGAATGTTCTCGTCCAATATACTTCCGTACCTCACTATTCCTGCGTTGTTAACCAAAACATCGATCTTTCCATACGCTTGGATTGTCTCGTCGATTATTCTCTTAGCGTCTTCCTTGTTAGTTACATCAGCTTTGATGACTAAAGGATCTGAACACTTTTCGGCTACATTAGATAGTTTTGTCTCGTTTCTTCCCACAATAACAACGTTAGCTCCTTCTTGAGAGAAAAGGATGGCTGTAGCCGCTCCTATACCAGAACTTCCCCCAGTTATCAAAACTACTTTGTTTGCGAAACTCATTTTGATTGATGTATGCCAGCTGAAGTCTTTCCTTAGACTGAAGCAAAAATGTTTCATTTCCCCTTTTTATATGATTTTAATTTACAAATATACTTAAATGTGACCTTTGGACTGTATAATTACGTAAATTATTTATGTGTACAAGTGACGCATCTCATCGTAGTATATAATTAGTACTTATTTAATTAATGGACGAAGTCTAATGTTCGGAATGACTTTACCTAACTTTCGACACCTGGACACTTAGTGCTTCAGTACTAAATTTATGTTTGAAGGTGACTTAACGACTTTCTCCTTGAACTTTTCAGACGTTTAGATATTTAATAAGCCTTTTAAATTAATTAGATAGTTAAATTTATAGTGGGATTTTCTGAAGAAAATATACAATAGACAAAAAACCATACTCATTTTCCATTTAAGTATGTTGATTTTTTTGTTTTATTTATACTTGGTACTGGTTACTTTTGTTTTTATAATTCGTTGATTAAAATTACAAAAACAGTAGATTATAATTAGGTAATATGTATGCTTGTTAATTTATTATGTACGTTAAGCTTATTATCTTTAGCGTTGGTGAAGTCGGTGCCAATTGTGTAACCTTTTTAAACATTTATTTAATTAAAATGATCAACTTTATTTCGATTTATTAAGTGTACCTATGCTTTGTTTTGAAAGGGTAAATTATCAAATACAGTATAGTGATTAAACTTTCCTTTTCCTGCACCTTTTCTAATTAGATATTCATAGAAGTCAATATAACCCCGACCCTGGGCGGGATAAGTCATTAAATGACTTGACTATCTTCTCACAAAAAAATGAAATCAAAGCAATGCCAATTTTTGTTAGATTCTAGAATATTCTTCCTATTCCAGACACGTCGTTCGAATCGGGAATGTCGGATGACTACGCGATACCACCGGACGCGGTATCCTGTGACAGTACAGCGTCACCGTCGTTGGCTTCCCTCTGTCGAGCTCCACCTACAACGGACTCGCCGCGACGACACGACGCCTTAGAGAAGAGCGGCCATCTTGCCAAGTTAGGTGGAAAACTGAAAACGTGGAGAAAACGATGGTAAGTGGTTATTAATTTTATGAGGGGTTGAGTGAAAATATACCTTTTATATGCAATAGAACGGCAAACGTCTGCTAGTTTTAGGATTACCTGATGGTAAGCAATCAGCGTTGCCCATGGATATCCGCAACAACAAAATAGTTAAGAGTGCGTTGCCGGTCTTTTGGGGATAAGATTGGACTTTTAGGGATTGGGTAAAGATTAGGGGAGGGGAAGGCCTGGGCCACCGGGAACCTCACTCACAACGCGAAACACAACGCTGTAATTGTTTCACGCTGGTATTCTGTGAGGCCGTAGTATCACTCCGGTTGACCCATTCTTGCCGAAGCATGGCTCTCCCACACTTGAGTAATGAGTAGAACTTTGGGTATCTACCTTGTACCAAGAGTTTTATTTAAAGGTATTACCTATTCGCTTAGCCGCATAGGCATAATTAATATGCTAGTAAGCCTATTAGCTTACTTAAGCAAATTAAAACTGTCCACATAAATTAATAGTTTTGTAAAACAATAAAAAACTACTTAAATCGGCACTTAAAATCTAAATTTCTTGCTTAATAGTCGACTATCTCATAAAATATATTTTATGTCTCTTACATTTTTATTCGTTTCGAAGTATTGCTTTGAGAGATTCTAAATAGTAATAATACCCCTGTTTCTTGCTTTTTTTTCATCTATACTGATTACTTGTATAGCTGTATATTATAAAGCTGAAGAGTTTGTTTGTTTGTTTGAACGCACGAATCTCCGGAACTACTGGTTCGAATTGAACAATTATTTTTGTGGTCGTTAGTCCATTATAAATAAAACGAGCAGCCGAGCAGCAGATGAAACTGCGCGAGAGTAGTATTTATTACTAGCTACTCTCGCGTGGTTTCACCCGGTACTCGGCTCCATTTAATCGTAGCGTGATCTTTTATAGCACTCAGGAATATTGTAGCTATCTATCAGTAAAATAATTTTGGCAATCTGACCAGGTTCCAAAGGTTACCCCCTACATACAAACTTACAAATATTACCTCTTTATAATATTAGTATTTGTGTGATGATGTGATGTGATGTGATAAATAATTGTTTGTTTTCCTAAATAAAACAGGTTCGTCCTCAAAAACGGAACACTTTCATACTGGAAATCGCAATCGGAGGTGAATAGAAAGCCTCAAGGTCAGATCGGTCTCGGTGAAGCGTGCAAAATATCGAGGAATGAAGGAGCGGCCACATTCGAGATCTTCACAGGCAGTAGAACCTATTACCTGACGGCTGACAGCATCGCTACTATGGAGGACTGGATAAGAGTTTTACAGGTATGTAAATTTTAAATTCATAATAACCCCAAGTGTGGCAAACATTTTCTTTTAAAAATATTGTTGAAATGTATTTTTGAAATAAATATGCTAGGTTTTTGATACAAAAATAATGCCATCACACAATGCCAGTTAGAATCAAGTCCGCCTTTGTATGAAAATTTTCCGCGTTAATACCCGCGTAAATATAATGTTCTTTGTATGAAAAGTTTTAAAATCATTACATATAGTATAGAACAAAGTCGCTTTCTCTGTCCCTATGTCCCTATGTGTGCTTAAATCTTTAAAACTACGCAACGGATTTTGACGCTGTTCTTTAAATAGAAAGATGATTGAAGAGGAAGGTTTATAAAAAATGTTAAATAACATCCACTAAATAGTAGAGAAATTTAGTATCAGCGTTGCACCCGTGCACCCGTGCGAAGCTGGGGCAGGTCGCTAGTAAATTAATAAAAATACTATGCTCACCGCTTAATTCTTTGGGTAGACGGAGAAATTAAAAAAAGGTTTTTTACCGTTTTAAATACGTTTTAAGTAAGTTTTGACCTATGCCAAGTTTAATAGAGATCCATTCAGTAATTTTTACATTAACGTTAATCATATAATATTATAAACGAAAACGTTTGTAAGTATTCAATTCAATCACGATTTGTTGACATAGAAAATTACTGTTTAATTTATTAACGAAATTACATATTGGTAAATAATAATTTAGGTATTTGGAGTTTGAGAAGCAATTTTACTAATTATTTAAACTTGTTAGTTTATTTGCCTTATTGATTCTTGAAGGTCAATAATGTTAATAATTAAATAGTCGACTTCTTACGTGAAGCAAGAGTTGTATGTAGTACTAGCTCTTACCCGCGGCGTCGCTCCCGTCATTTGATTACCTACCCTACTCTACCTACTCTTCTCTACCTACCCTACCTACCCTACCTATCTACCTACCCTACCTACCCCACCTACCCTACCTACCCAACTCTACCTACCCTACTCTACCTACTCTACTCTACCTAGCCTACTCTACCTACTCTACTCTACCTACCCTACTCTATCTACCCTACTCTATCCTATCCTATGTCCTTCTCCTAGCTCTAAACTACATCCCTGCCGATTTTCAGCTAAATCGGTTCAGCCGTTCTTGAGTTATAAGTGGAGTAACTAACACGACTTTCTTTTATATATATAGATGTAGTACTTTGTATGTATTCGTAACAATTTCAAGTAAGTTTTGTTTTGTTTTTTTTTGTACCAGTTGTACCGTCGGTTTTAAAAAGGAGGTTCTCAGTTTAACTTTTATGTAGGTATGTTAGTCCACGATAAACCCGTGATTATAATACGATTTTCATAGTAGATTTTAGCATGCTTAGAAAAAAGTTTACTATCACTACATAAAACAAAATCGCTTTCTCTGTAAGCAATCGGTGCCGCCCATGGACACCCGCAACACCAAAGGAGTTACGAGTGCGTTGCCGGCCTTTTGGGGATAGGGGTTGCGGATATAAGGATCGGGAAGGGATAAGGGAAGGGAAGGGATTGGGCCTCCGGTAACCTCACTTACACGGTGAAACACAACGCTGTATTTTAAGGCTTTAAAAAGTTTTACCTGTATATAGTATAATAATTTATCCCTCCACTATTATTAATAATCAATATTGCGTATTTAATTTACCATTTTTTTTTTAATTTCATTCTAGAACGTTCAAAGACGCAATGCGACTAAACTGCTCCTGAGTAAAGAAGACAATAAGCCAACGATACAGGGCTGGCTAACTAAGGTCAAGAATGGACACGCTAAGAAGAGCTGGTGCGTTCTCATTGGAAAAATGTTCCTGTACTTCAAGTCCCCTGGAGACCAGGTATGTTATGATAATGGATTTAGGATTGATTTTTCAATGGTTAGATAAAAGTTATCTGGGGAATAATTATGATGCTGTCGCGTCAGAATGTTTACATAAGACAGTGATAGCAACAATTTATTCCTCAGATAACATTTATCTTGCTATTGAAAAATCAGTTCTTAATATGAGTTTAATTCGTAACGTTAAAAAATATGCCGTGCTGGCTATAAATATGTTTTCAATATTTGTAAAAGAAATGTGACGGATATTGGCAAGATCAAATATTTGTTTTAACTTTACAACTTACTTGTATCAGTCTCTTGTTCTCTCTGTCTCTATTATGATTCAAAGAACGAGTACCCCAATTTGTAGAAAGTCCAAATCAATCATATTGTAATAGACATACTAATAAATAAAGTGAACAGTTATAAGACATACCTTGGTACCTTTCACCAATACTTTACTCTACAATGACTAATTTCTTCACAGAACCCCACCGGCCAAATCAACATGAGAGACGCACGAGTGGAAGATGTGGAACACGTGTCAGACTCCGACTCCGAAGAAAAGAACGACGACACTCGCAACCACCTCACAGTCGCCATCTATCCGCAACACCAGGTAACTGGGGTCAGTGAAAAATCCATAATATATATTGGTGTAGTGATTGGTCTTAGATGTAGATGGCGCTTACGGCGATGTTGGCCTGAATGAATGAATGAAATGAAATGAATGAATTGATGAATTAAATTCTCACGCTTTAAATCGCCGCGAGTTCTTCTTTTTTGTTCTAAAATGAATATATTTTTCAGGATTGTAAAACATTTAATGTGTTTGAAAGCAACTAAGTAGTCTGAAACGCACAAAATTTTTTGTAACTTAAAGACAATGTTTATACTCTTGACTATGCATATAAGTCCTCGTATGACATTCAGAAGTCCAATAAAAATGCCCGGCACAACAGTAACTGGGGCTCAATCCATCCCCGCCTATCTTCAATCCCCAAACCCACTTGATAATCCCTAATTCGCACGCACAGACTTTTAACTCCTCGATGTCGCCGATAGCTTAGTATCAGGCATCAGGTGATTTGGAGGTTGGATCGTTTGACGCCCTATTCCAATTTAAATGGCCTTAATAACTATTGGTATTATACAAACGAGGTTAAGTTAAGGGCGATAATGTGCTGCGGCTTCGGCCTGTGGCAGGTAGAGATCGGGGTGATTTTTAGTCAGTGTGAGTCTGAAACTCCCTCACGCCCTTTCCAGAAGAAAAAATAAATGTAAATCTATTTCCATGTCAATAAATTCCACATTTCCTTACCCAAACACTGAAACGTTGGTATAAGGAATATACAGCGACAAAAATACTAGTGATTCGTGTCTTCACTTGCAGGGTCCAACGTACCTTCTTTTCGAGAGCAAAGCGGATAAGGATTCGTGGTTGTACCATCTGACGGTGGTCAGTGGTGGCGGGTTGAGTCAGGGGACGCACTTCGAACAATTGATACAGAAACTCATGGAGACTGATGGCGATCCTAGTAAGTATTACCATAATTCATCAAATACCAAATGAACGCCGGTGTTCGCGCCATATTCTATTGTGTCTCGAATTATGATGTGTTAGCTAAAATTTGAATAATAGGCACTTAAGGCAAGTATCTATTGAGAATTATGAAGCCAATAAAATATAAAAAATCAATATTATTTTATTTGACAAAAAAAAGTCCCAACATACAATCATGTGTATACAATTTATTGAAAACTCTTGATTTTGACTATTTGAAAAAAGTATTGAGTTTGTAAAAGGGCTAATGAGACGAATCTTATCTGTGGCAACGTTCAACGTTTTAACAAAAGAGTAATTTTAATGGTTGTTCTTTTTCCAATTTTATATGTTCTTTATTTTAAGTTGTATAATAACAACTTTTTCATTCTGCATCTTGTGACGTAACAAGATTTCTACATAAATATATATCCATCTTTTCCAGATTGTGTTCTATGGAGGCATCCGACATTATTGTACTCTAAAGAAAACCTCACATCTCCGCTCACATCACTCAACTCTGAAGCCTTACAAGCAGAAGCCTTAAAACTATTTAAGGTAAGAAATATTTTATAGGTTTATTTGCGTAGTTTACAAAGTCAAAGTCTCAAATAAACTTTCGTATCTCGAATAACAATATCCTCCTATGAACTAAATTCCCGTCTCAAAAAACCTTGAATTCAGTATTTCCTAATACTCTTATCACTTATTAACTGACGGGTGACAGCATTCACAATAAATTTTGTTTGGTTTTATTGTATTCTCAAGCTATCTTAAAAATTAGAAAGGATTTTGGCAAACCTGCCCTAGGTTTAATTGTAATCTAAAACTGTTTTCGAAATTAAGAAGGATTTTGGCAAACCTATTCTTAATACCGTCGTGGTTCCACAAGTTTATCTGAATGTAGGCTCAAACACCATTTTTCTTAGATATAATAAGCATTAGTTTTAACGTCGCTTCCGCGGACGAGTTCCATATGAACGCACAATGACAATAGTGCATAGTGAAGTGGTGATTTTATTTGTCTGTCTGTCTGTGGCATCATAGCTTCAGAACGAATGGACCGATTTCAATTTAGTTTTTTTTTTTAGATATAAAGTATATCTATGGACCACTGTCGCCTGAATACAAAACGTTAAATTTAATTTAATTTAATGCCAATATTTGGTCTAACTTGTACAACTATAATAATGTAAGTGTGACAATCTACAGTCTCTCATTGTTGATTCCAGTGCGTCCAACTATTCATGTCGGTGGCAGTGGAGCAAGCCGGCATCGATTACCACGTAGTGCTAGCACAGAACGCGTTGGCGCAGTGTCTAGAAGTAGGCGAGCTACAAGACGAGCTCGCTTCAGTACTAGCTCGCCAGACGACCCCACACACCTCTACAAAGCTCGGCGTACAGGTAACGCCAACCCGCCGCGCCCGCATAAACGTTAAGCCCACCAAGCTTAAGAATGTAAGTTGCTCACGTTATGGTTGTTTTTGCGATATTTGGTCTACAGTTTGATTGGTTCAGGGAAGTTTATTACAATATTGGTTCAACAAGTTGATCCAAACATTGGTACAAAGAATTCTTGTCCAACATTCGTAGCTTTGAAAGTCATACCAACATTGAGACCAATTTTTACAAGCTACAGTTATTGGTCAATTGTCGTTGGCGCAAAATTACTTACGATTTTATAAGAAAATGTCATTATTAAGTATCAGCTAGCAATAACTTGTTTGAAGTTTACTTCAAGAGCAGTACTTTAAGACTTAATACTTCATACGAAAGTCTTATTGACCACGCTGTTTATAAGTAGGCAAGACTCAATCCCCGTTATTACAAAACAAGGTTTATCTTTAGTCCAGGTTTAAACCATTGAGTCGGGTTTTGAATTTTGAATCTTATTGTCAGCTACCTTCAATTCAAAATACAAAAACTGGCTCAATGGTTGAGTCCTAGACTAAAGTAAAACCTTGTTTTGTAATAAGGCCGAATGTGCATAATAATATTTCAATCTTTAACACTCACCTCCATTAGTCAAGAACTTAATCATGAGTGGACAAAGATATTTTTAAAATATGAAGGTACACATATTTCTTTGTCCATTTTTGGTTTTTTGTGGCATACGAACAATGTGACTTAGATGAATGAATCTTAGGTTCAAAATCAAACTGTAGATCAAAGAACTGATGGTAAATTCATAACAGATTATTCTAATACCCGTCTGTTTGAATTTTCGCCTTTTCACTGACAGCAATTGAATTTGGAACGTTTCAAACTATATCAAAACTTCAATGTAGTAAAAAAAGGTGGTGAATTTTAAATTTCAACCTTAATACAAAATATTACATTACTTTTCTATTTGTGAATGATTTCAAATAAAGAATTCAATTGTTGCTTCAAATTCTTCAATGTTTTGGTGTATTCTTATTTTAGTTCTTATTCTTATTATTAAAGTCACAATTCATTTAATCTCATCCCGATTACTTTAAATAGTACATTATAGTACCGCGAGTAAGCCGTTAAACATTATATTTATACTTAACTTACGTGTCTTATAAGTTTTTTCTCTATTACAATGAAATAATAATGTTATACAAAAAGATTACACCAAACATTTAATATTCTTTTTTTGGTTTTGCTGTAATAGTTTTCATTTACCATAATGAGAATTATTACCTCTAATAAATAACTGATACAAGCATGGCTTTAGGTGTTACGGCTAGGGTAGGTACAAAAATATAACTTAAGAACCAGTATTTATGATTTAAATTATGTTGGTTTTCATTTTGGCATTCTTTCTTAGGATTTTATTTTATACGCAATATAATTGTAATATGATTGTCAATTGTTTGTTTAGTCCCATAAGTATTGCTATGGATTAATAATATTTCAAAACATATTATTTCTAGTTTGACAGTTCAGCAACTTTCATGGGCATATTTTATTTATGGAATAAAATTACTATTTCTTTAACAAATACTATTTAGTCCAATTGATAACAGTCATGGTCTATAATCTAGCAGACGAAATGAGTGATTAAAAATTACACTTTTGAAATAAATGATATAATGATATCTAAACAGATGATCAGATATTTAAATACTCTGTGGCGACCTGTCAAATATAACAGTTCCATCTGTCATTTGAAAGCCGCCATCTTATCTAAATGTCAAAATGAATTCCAACATATAAAGAAAATGGTAGGTATACTATACAGCTTTATATTCGCAACGGCTTAGCTTACGGGCAAACGCTTTGATGCTTTTCTCATATGTAATCATCATAATATAAACAATACTTATACATACAGTTATAAATATTACGCTCAATTGATGAAAGAACTTTTCGCTTCTAAATACTATACTTGTATGTAGATTTTCTAGAATATTGTGCTCTAAAATTTATTTCGGGGTGGAAACACGGAATATTTTTTAATGATATGTTGGTTAATAATTTAGCACCTTTTTATCCAATTTGCAAGCGAAGGCAATACACAGAAGTTGTATGCTTCAACGCTTGTAAAGAAAAGAGCACAATATATTTGTTAAAAAGCTTCGAAACTTATTTAATTTGCGTAAAACTGTAAATATACACTAACAAACCATTATTATAGTATGGGCTTTGTGTGTCGCTGTAATGAAGGCTTCGTCACGTGGTTGATCAATTTGGAATTGTATTGTGAATACAATTATATTGGCTTCATTAGAACCGTTTAAAAACGTTATAATATGCTAAACAAAGCATATTATCCAACAAAATTACTAACAAGGAATAAAACAAAAAGTTTCTATTCCAATTTGATCCGTCCTAGTTCTGGCAACATTTTCGAACGGCGCGTTCTAATTTTGAAACGGAGAGATGTTGCCATAACCGAAAAAAAATATGTTACGTTGCAAAATTTCAAATGGAATGTTGGTGTAAATTTTTCCCCGATTTTCTTTTTTTTTCTTCCAAGAATGTTTCTCCCTTGGCCCCATAGATTTAGGGAATGTTTTTCTTTTTCGTTTACCTGTCATTCATACTCTGTCATAGCTAGTGTTACCCTCGGCACTGTTCGATCTCCTTTGTATTAAAAGGTTGATGTTGCAAGTTTTTAGACTTTTACCTTATAGCCCTTATATATTTATATAATATAGTACACATCTATAGTTTTGGTAAGTACTTAGGAGTAAGTAGGATTAAGTAATTTTTATAAGATTGCATAATATGTCTCTTATCTTTATTAGACATATGGTTTCCTGATTTATTTTCATCCTTGCATACAATTTGCTGAGGAAATTCGTCCTATTTTATCTAATTCAAATGATAATTTAATCTAGTTAAAATTTGGTATTTTTCTGTTCACATAAGGTGACTAGTTGGAATTAAGAAACTTGATCAGTTTTAATCTATGTTAAAAATTAAAATTTTACAAAATACGTTTTTATCAACACTTACATTAAATTTTAATGAGATATTTGAAACATTGAGTTTTTAAAAATCAATGCTCAAATCACGTAAGACATATTATGCAATTATTAGAAAACACTGTACATTTAAATCACAATACTTACTACTGTACATACATATAACAAAAAAAAACACGGGATATTGGTACTTAAAGGCACAAGACAATGGCATAAAGCACTCGCACTAACTTGTAAGATTACTTATTTTGTTTTTAAGGACGAAAATTTCAAAAAATAAATAAAACCTTTAATATTTATTGAACATTTATTTGGTTATCGACTGTTGTTATATAAGAGGACACATTTTGTTTGTTTAACGAAGGGGAGGTCGGAGCAGAGGAAGGGGTATGGTGGAGAAACGGGTAGAGATGCGCATATTTAAATATAATCCAATTTTATCACTTATTGAAGGGTGGCAATACATTGCAGTTCCTTACTCATTGGTTATGGGTCAATTTTATTAGCTATTAGTTTCTAAAAATCATCTTACTCAGTGAAAGAAAATCATATAGGTACATAACTTTATCCTGGGACGGTAACTTACAGTAACATTATTTAAATTAATAATATCTGTACTGTATCTTATAAAATTTTCATATATATTTATTTCTGTAACTTATTTACATATGTATGTACTGTATACACACACATCACACAAAAAACACAATCCCTTTATAAAATATTCACTCAAAGCCTCACTTAGACTTTCCCAAACAAACACAGTCTTCCTAAAAGCAAACTTATTCTGTACTACATAAAGTGCACACTCCAATGACCAGTTAGTCTCGCCAAGTATTGGTCCAACAATCGCCAACATTTCATTTGTTCAGCAACTCCTACTGTGCGCGACTCAGTCGCTGTTCACGTGCGACACTGGCGCCGCCTCAGTGGGTTCGGACAACAAGAGCGACGTCCCGCCTCATGCCGCCGGCTCGCCTAGCTCTATACAGGTAAACGTTGCCTAGGAACGCGATATACGTAGGAGTTATTTAAGCATAAACTTTATAAAGTAAAGCTTTGAGTATAAAATGCCTTGCACTGAGCTAATTCAGAAAGTTCTGTTTTTGAACTGATCGAAATTTGAGTATCTGATTAAATTATGGTTGTCATATTGTTCTAATATTTAACAAGCTTTAATTTTATCGTTATTATTTCTGTGTTTTGAATAAAGAGTGGTAACTAGATATATTTATTAATAATTGATATCTTTACTAAAATATTAATTAAACTTTCTTGAAGCCAATAATAATGTTCACAATCAGTAGACGTGTTTGTCCTGTATTTGTCTTCTAGGGTATCATATGAGAAAAGCAATGTAAAAGAAACCGTAAGTTTATTGGTAAAAAGTTTGAATTGAACTTGACAAGATTTATTTGTGATGTAATTTTATAAAAAATGATAATTTATAACGATTGCAAGGTTGAGAGAAATTAAAATGTTAAAGATTACGGACGATTTTTTCTCTGCAAAAAATTAATAAATATTATTTGTATATTTTTCTGTTATTATAATCTTCTTAGTTGCTAAACCAAGGTATTTTTACGTTAACAAGATCAAAATGCTAGCCCGTTCAGGACTCTGATTGGTTGGTTATCTTAAAGTCGACCAATAACAGCGTCGAACGTCATAAACGCTTCCATCTTGTTAACGTAAAACAAAACATTAAAAAATTAGTTAAGAGAAAGAGATAGCAACAAAATTAATGATTCTTATACATGGACTCGGCTGTAACAAGTTAAGAATTTCAACTAAGACTTGAATATAGTAAAATTTTGCAGCGAAAAAACATACCGCGCAAGATATCCCCCTTTAAGTAACTAATACGGTTAGATGTGACTTATCTTCAATTTAATACATAGTAAAGATAAGGTTGGCCTAACATTTGCGTAGAGGGTCAGCCAATAGTCATTAATCAAAATTTTGTGTCGGAATGAGTGAAGGAGTTTAAATTATTCGTGAAACTAAATCAGATTATATTTATTTGCTTAAACACGTGTGTACAAACTATACAAAAACGCATGTAAGATATTAGTTAACATTAAAAAAGGGCTCCCAACATCGTGAAATGAGATGATCCGCGCAGATGTCGAAATCTAAAAGAGCAGGCAGCAAATAAGAAAGTATGACTAGTCCGGCTCGATCCGGACAGCTGATAACTCTACCTGAAACTATATATATATCTATGAGTTTAAGCTAAAGTTTAAGTTTCTTCTGCCTACGGTTTCGCCCGTGTGTTATGTTGATAAAAAGCAGCCTGTGTGTTAACAGGCCAGGTCGAAACGTCAAGCCTACCAAGGTATTTAGATAATTATTTTCGTTTTTATACCCGCGTAATTTATGGTGTAAAAACACCTGTATGTTAATCCAGTTATCACTGATCTACATGCCAAAATTGAACTAAATCGGATTAGCCATTTTTGCGTTAAAGAATAACAAACATACCTACATCCGTACATTCTCACAAACTTTCACATTTGAAATATTAGCAGATTTTCAAATAAGTCACATCTATCCGTCTCCCCTATTGTACTAGAAGTACATGATTTTAACTCATTTTTTTATCGTTTTCTACCATCCAAGGAATGTTTCCAGGCGCCGTTGTTATCAGTGGACTGCAAGAGCAACCCTCCGACGTATAGTTTTGTACAAGGATGGCAACTACTGGCTTTGGCCGTCAGTCTGTTCGTACCACGAAATAACAGGCTGCTTTGGTATCTGAAGCTTCATTTGAGTAGGCATGCGGACTCTAAGTAAGTTTTTATAATAGTATTTTTTTAACATCTTTATTGATAAAATTAGTTATATTTGCCAAAAATGGTGGTAATTGAAACTACCGATTGATTATTAAGTTTTTTACTTCCTATTTAGCAAAGACGTTATTGTCTCTTATGCTAGTGATCTTTGAAACCATAATAATATCAAATAAAAGTTTTTTTAGATAATGCACACTTTAATGTCAAATAAAACACAAATTAAGCGCCTTTTGTTGTTTATAAAACAAGCTTGCCGATGGTCTTAATTAACTTTATGCATACAAGACCTATTCTATGAGGTCACAGTTGGATTGAAACCTGTTAGTCAAAAATAATTTTGAATATTCAGCTCAATAAATTAATAAAACATAATCTTAATTAGTTTGACTATATATTTTAATTTTAGATTTTATAGCTTATTTCCCAAAATAAGTATGATATTTGACGTCAAAACATTATGACGTTGTATGTGGCGAGCTGATACAAATTCAGAGAAAAGTAACATTTTTGACATTACAATAAAAGTATTGAATTTGATTAAACAGACGCCAAACATAAACCAAAATAAGACCTTTAAATCTTTTTCTTGACCAAAATCAATTTCACCTCAGAATATTAATAATAATGATTATTTTTCCTAGAACGGAGTGCGGTAAATACGCGGCGTACTGCGCGCGCGCTTTAGAACGTACCATCCGTAACGGTGGGCGAGAAGACAAGCCGTCCAGAATGGAGGTGCTATCCATACTATTGAAGAACCCCTACCACCACTGCCTGCCCCATGCTATACCTGTTCACATGCTCAATAATACATACCAGGTATGTACTATATTCTAAGACATTATTGACTAGACATAATTAATTGCTTGCTATTTGCACTCACCGTTTTTACTCATCTCAGCATCACCCTAAGTTTAAGACTGGTAGATAATGCCAACGGCATTAATTCATCTGTTTACAGTACGATTCAATCGTAATGTTAGCTCTGAAGTTAGCTTGGATTGTAGGTGCGTGCAAGTAAAGTGAAGTTCGCAATTATTTCATAATATAATATTATAAATGCGAAAGTTACGATGTTTGGATGTTTGTTACTCAATCACGCAAAACGGCTGGACGGATCTGGATGAAATTTGGAATACAACATAATAGGACATAGGCTACTTTTTATCTCCATACCACGCGGGCGAAGCCTTTTGAGCTGATTTAAGATTGTCCTTGTTTTTAATTTGTTTAATTATTAAAATATATTAATTTTAAATACAATATTGCCTAAAACCATCTCATCACTGAATTATTAAATGTAATTTATAAAGTTTTCAAAGTTTGCTTGCTTTCAAAGTGAAAATTGTGAAGTTAATAAATGTAAGGTTACCGGCATTAAGGATTTCGCTGCATTGTCATCTCGATATCAGGTAAAATACAGTATTATTTCAACGTAATTAGCTATTTTGCCTTTTTATTTTCGTGTTTACATTGATTTCATGTAGCGCAACAAACATTCGCGGTCAAATAACAATAAAAATTACCCTTTTTGTAGTTGGTGGCACAACTTCTTTGTCTAAGCAAACTTTTACTTAACTTATCTAGTAACTTCCTTACCTTAATTTACATAATAATTTCAGCTTCCATTATAACTTTCTAATTCTATCTCTTACCTTTAAACTTCCAAAATGATTCTCACTCGCAAAGCCCATGCTCGCTAAGAGGAGTCTAAACTCAGCCTGGCTTTGAGCGAATTGAAGGCATCAAAGGAGTTGTGTGATCAATTGTTGGGGGAAAGGGATGACAATGAGAGGGAATTCTTGCTTATTTTGGACCAAAACAAGAAGCTGAAACGTGAAATGGCTCTGTTAAACATTCAACACACAGAAGCCATTGAGGCCCGGGATAGGCTCCAATTCGTTGTGGACGAATTCAAGCAGTGTAGCGAGGAGTATGAAACCACTTTAAATGACAAAACGCTACTAAAACAACAGCTACATGAGGCCAACAGTCAAATTTCTGAACTAGAAATATTAAACTTAAACATCACGGCCGGCTTGAATAATAGTTTATTCAGTGAATTGGTGTCAGCCCAAGCTTCTCAACTACAATATAGTGATGTAAATTTAGATTTAAATCCATTAACTTCAAATCAGACTACAGATAATGATGCATGTCACCCAGTGAAATTTGTTAGTTCTAGTCATAAGAAGCTTAAGAAATACATAAGAATCAGTAAATTTATAACTAAAACAAACAGATTAGTAAAGAGACAAAAGTTCTTCATAAAAAATGTAAAATTAAATAGAGAACGTTTCCAGCTTCTGAAACAACTTAGTTTATACTCATCAAAATTAAATCAAAGTGCTAGGAAATATGAAACTGATACCCAGAGCCTGCAGTCAGAACTAGAACAATTAACATCAAAGTTAGAAATAATGTCTAATAAATATAGTGCTTCAGAAAGGCAGATGAGGGAATACATGTTGGCAATGAATGAGTTGGTAAGTTCGCAGGAGAAACAGTGTGAGAAGTGCACTCCTGATGCTATACTGCCTGCTCTTTCTGTGCCAGCATGTGAGACCACCTTACCTCATGGTAGAGGTTTACTGTTTAATAATTGTAATCCTAGTAATCATAATATTGTCATTTTCAGTGATGAGATTGGAAAGAACTTAGGTTCAATGTTGACAAATGAATTACCTGGACAGTCTACATTTAATCACTGTATGCCCGGCTGTAGTTTTGGTAATATTTTGGATAAAATTAATAAATATAGATTTAATCCAGATTCTACCCTCATTATAATGTGTGGTAACAGAGGTAGTCTTAATAAAAAAAGTTTAATCAATTTCCATAATTCACTTGCCAAACTGAATTTAAAGCAGATAATTATATTTGCATTGCCTTATATAAAATCATTGCCACAGGAAGAAAACAATAGTAGATATAAAATTAATACTGCATTGTATAACTTAAGTATTAATACTAATATTCACTTCATAGACACCAACAATTATGTTGGTCTTAATATATATAGGACAAAAGATAGGTACTATCTTTCAAAATATTATTTAAGACAAATAGCAATGTCGCTATCATATTTTTTTAATATATCAGCCAATAACTTGGCTAAACAGGTTACTCCTATTGAGCAACCAAAAAATATTGACATTCATAATGAGTCACCTAATACTGACATTCATAATAATTTAAATTATTAAATAAGACAATAGAGACAAACTCTTGCAAATTAAACAGTAATAAGGTTATTAATCTGGTTCACCAAAACATTCAAGGCTTTATGAGTAAAGAATTGGAAATAGAGTTATTTTTAAATTGTAATAATGTGGATATTTTGTGTATTACTGAACATTGGCTAAAACCCCATCAGCTCATGTTCAATTTTGGTAAGCACCAGATTGGTAGCTCGTTCAGCAGAGAAAACGCTATACATGGTGGGTCACTTATACTGATAAGTAACCAGCTCAAATTCAAAGATCGTAAAGATATAGTTAGTTACTCTGTTGAGCGTACTGTTGAAATAGCCTGTGTGGAATTGGAGCGGTTTATTGTATTAAGCGTGTATAGACCACCTTCTGGTTTGTATGACTGTTTTGAAACAGTAATGGATGAAGTTCTAAGTAAACTTACAAATTCAAAGAAATCCATCATTACATGTGGTGATTTTAATATAAATTTATTAGAAAAATGTAGTTTAAGCACAAAAATTGTAAGTTTATTTTCTTCATACAACCTTGCGAATTTGTTTCTGGAGCCAACTAGGATAACACCCACTAGTGCCACTTGCCTGGACAATATTTATACTGACATTGTGCCAGTTAACAAAGAAATAATTTCAGTACTTGATTCCGATCACTGTGGTCAGTTAATTTCTTTAACAAAAGAAATAAATATAGTATCAAAACAATTTATCACAGTTAATCCGAAGACTAAAAGACGCATTGAATTTTTCAAAGCTAAACTCAGCAACAAATTGCCTTTGTTGTTGAATTATAAGAATTCTAGCACTTTATATGATAAGTTTTTTAAAATGTACCTAACAGAGTTTAAGTCTACTTTTTCAGATAAAACTATACCAGCTAATAGCAATGCGTCTTTCGGTGATTGGGCAACCACTGGTATCTATAAGAGTAGAAAGCGCCTCTATGAGCTTTATAATGAGCGGACATATATTAACACTGTTGAATTCAGTGAATATGTAAAAAACTATTCTAAATTATTCAAAAAGGTTTGCTCTATTGCTAAATCATTATTCTTAAGCTCTAAGATAAAGAACAGTACCAATGTTATCAAAGACACTTGGAATATTATCAACAGTGAGGCAGGAAGGTCTAAAAAGAGAATAAATCAACATAGTCTTGTAATTGATAATAAGTTAATAAAAGCGGATGTAGAAATTGCAACTGCTTTTGAAAATTTCTTTTCCGACATTCCTGTATCCACTACTAAGTCACTGAATTCATCTCCCACTGTTGCAGAGTCTTTACTCAAAAAACATGTTGTAGCTTGCGATTCAGGGTTTTCCTTCGAGCACATAGATAACAAGGAAATTGTTAAAATCTTTAATACTTTGAATAACAAAAAGACTGCAGATCTATGGGGCAATTCTGTGTATATTACAAGCTCTGTAATAACTATTGTAGCACCTGTATTAGCTCAAATCTTTAATAACTGTATTGACTGTGGTGTGTTTCCTGATCTTATGAAATGTAGTAAAATAATTCCATTATTTAAATCAGGTAGTACTTCTGACCCCACTAACTTTAGACCTATTTCAGTGCTACCTACGTTCAGTAAAATTTTTGAAAAAATTATTTTAGATCAAATGCAAAGGTTTTTTAATAGAAATAAATTATTACATGCGAAACAGTTCGGATTTACAAGGGGTCGTTCAACAACTGATGCCGGTGTTGAACTTCTTAATCACATTTACGACGCGTGGGAGGACTCAAGCGACGCTTTGGGAATATTTTGTGATTTATCCAAGGCGTTCGATTGTGTGCTTCATGATACACTGATCAGGAAGCTATCCCATTACGGAATAAGAGGTGCATCTCTGGACCTTCTTACCTCATACCTGAGTAATAGGGTTCAGAGAGTTGAAGTAAACGGAGTGGTTTCTGCCGGGTCTGTTGTGAAGATGGGTGTTCCGCAGGGTTCTATTCTCGGCCCGTTTTTATTTCTTATCTATATTAATGACTTGCCTTACCTTGTAAGGGATAAACACGAGATAGTGCTGTTTGCTGATGATACCTCACTATTATTCAAACTCAGACGACGACAATTAGTTATTGACAATGTAAACAGTGCTCTCTCAGAAATAGTTCACTGGTTTGGTGTTAATAACTTATTACTAAACGAAACTAAAACTAAATGTATTAAATTCACAACACCAAATGTTAAACAGGTAAAAACCAGTGTGCTTGTCAAGGGCGAGGAGTTGAGTCCTGTAGATACAACTGTCTTTTTAGGTATAACCCTGGACGCTAAGCTCCAGTGGGGCCCTCATATAGATGGCTTGTCGAAGAAGCTCAGTTCTGCAGCATATGCCGTTAAAAAAATTAGAAATTTAACAGATGTAGATACAGCGCGGTTAGTTTATTTTAGTTATTTCCACAGCATCATGTCATACGGTATTTTGTTGTGGGGGAATGCTGCTGACATTCAGTTTATTTTTGTTCTGCAGAAAAGGGCTATTCGATCAATCTATAATCTTAGTCCGAGGCATTCGCTCAGAGAATTATTTAAGGAAACTAAGATAATGACGGTTGCCTCACAATATATTTATGAAAATGTAATTCACGCTCATAAAAACAAAAGCTTATTTAAGAAGCATAGTGATATACATAATATTAACACGAGGGGGAAAAACAAATATGTTGTCCCTGCCTCCAGGCTTCAGAAAATAACTAGTTCGTTTAGATGTCAATGTATACGCTTTTACAATAAAATTCCTAGCGATATTCAAAATTTGAGCCTCAATAAATTTAAAAGTGTAATAAATGCTAAACTTTGCTGTAAAGCATTTTATAAAATAAAAGACTACTTAGAGAATAGTCAGGCATGGGAATGAGCCGCTGTAATGTCTGCACAGGTCATGTTGACATGTTTGTAACATAAGTTACAATTTTATATACAATTTGACATTACGTTTATTTTTTATTTTTTATACAATGACATAATCACCTATTGTGACATTTTATTTTTTATTTGACATTTTTTTTTTTATTTATTTATTGACATTTTTATTATTTTATATTATTGTTAGTGTAAGGACCGTGTGAGACTTGCCGTGCTTTTTGATTACCAGTTATCTGCGTTCTGACAGTTTGAGTACTTGCGCGACCCACCCAAATGTTCTTTAGATCGGTATTGTTCGTCGGACAACTCAGCAGCACTAGCTATACTGGTTGCAAACTGACACTTGCGTGCCTGTCTTCAGAACGGGTCCACTTAAACTGGTGTGGTTCTTTCCTCAAAAGACCACTACAGAATGAACTTGCACGATTCTCTCACATTATGTTATTTTTACATTGTCTGGACTTGAAAAGAGACTGACCTCTGAGTTTGTTTCGGCATTTCTTCTCAGAGTAGTCAGATAGGAAATGCCGGCTTCATCTAGTTTTTCACATATAAATTGACGTGTAAAAGTGCCGTTTTATGGCCTATTTGCAAAAATAAATTCATTGTTTCATTGTTTCATTGTTTCATTGCCGTGGCTGAAAGCTAGTATTGAATATTTATTTTTTGTGACAGGCATTCATGTCTGATGTCGGATATCGCATTTTTTTCTTTCTTTTCTTTGTTTTTCTTTCTGTATTATTGCACCTTTATATAATTGATTTGTTTTTTCTCAGGTGATAAGTTTTGACGGGTCGACGACCGTAGAAGAGTTCTTGTCAACACTAAGTACGGAACTTGGATGTAGGGAGTCAGCGGCTTCAGGGTTCGCGCTGTTCAGCGACGATCCTATCGAAAAAGATCTGGAACATCATATAAAACCTGATAAAAAGGTGTGCGATTTAAAAAATAATTAGTCTTATTTTGATAAATGTACCTAGTATTGATATATGGATATTATTTTCCGGTGACATATATACCTAAAGTCTCTCGAAGCTTACAAGCACTTTTGAACGTCAAACAAAATCCAAATAGTAGTTTACCAATAAATAAGAAGGATACAACTACCTACTTTTTACTTCAGTTGATTACGACTGTTTGGCGAAAAGTTATGGTAAAGATTCCTAGCCATTTTATATTTTTTTTATAAATATGGCTATTTAAAGGCCAAACGATCTTAATAAACCTGTATGAGTTTATATTAGTACTAAGGCATTGTGCATTTCCTAATTGAAACTCTTGTGATAACTGTAATATAACCATTAGAGTAAGCAAAAATGTCAAATAACATTATAGTAACTGCATTAGTTAAAAATTGAAAAACTTTCCGATAATATAATAAAAAAAAAACATCTTTACAGCTCTGCGATGTGATATCAAAATGGGAGACAGCGCTCAGAGAGAAGGGCTCCGGGAAGTTCGAAAACTCTCGAGTGATCCGACTTACGTATAGGAATAGGCTCTACTTTAAGAACTCAATACGAACAGAGACTGACAAGGAGAGGTTACTACAGTGTTACCAGGTTAATCAACAAGGTAAGATATAAAAAAAAATATTTTCTACTAATTTAGTAGGGTTTAGTTCATTATCTTTCTTATTAAAAAAAAAACGTTTTCCTACTACGCTGTTTCTCCTGTGTCATGAGTGTGTTTTATAAACAATTTCACATATATATTACACTGAGAGTGAGAATAACAACTTCAGATTCGATAGGGTTCGATCCCGGCACGAAACTACTCGTTGTGTGATCCACAAATTGTTGTTCCGGGTCTTGGTATATGGCTATCTTATGTAAAATTGTATTTTGTAAACAAACCCACGACACAAGAAATGCTCCTAGTGTGCTAACTAGCTTTTGCCCGCGACTTTGTTCGCGTGGAATAGTGATTTCCTGCAGATGTCTGGTTCAAAAACCTACCCTAGTCCTTCCTCGAGTTTCGAACTATGTCTGTATCAAATTTCACCCAAATAGGTTCAGTAGTCTAGGCGTGAAGGAAAGACAGACTGACAGACACATTTACTTTCGCATTTATAATAATACCAATAATACATTATTTGTTTCAGTGGTAGCAGGTCGTTTCCCAGTTACAAGGGAGTTAGCAGCGGAATTGGGCGCGTTAATGGCGCAGCTAGACATGGGAGACTATTCTGCGGCCAACACGCAACACAACCAACCTTTAGCACATCGGTTCTATCCCTACAGATATAGAGCCGGCCTTAGTAATGATGAATTGAGGTGAGTCCAACAGAAAATTGGTTTTTATTTGTAGAGGAATAAGGTGTATTTTTCGTTGTCTAATTTTATTTTATACTAGCGCACGTGTTCAACTATCTAATTAACAACGAAACGGTCACGTTTTTTCTAATTTTTCCCTGTACTTTTATATTGTTTTCTTTCATAACAACGTTCTCCTGACTATATGAAATACAACAAAAAAGTCCAGGCGTTGTTGAGTTATACGCAACACATTTTGCTATCCATTTTTATATAAATACTAGCGGTCACCCGCGGCTCCGCCCGCGTGGTTGCCGATTTTACACTTCTTTTTAAAATTTTCTCTACGTTCAAGCGTTTGCTGGACTTCCACGAATAATTCAAGACCAAAATTGACCTGTAACTAGTACCTGTAGCTTGCCGGGGTCGCAGTAAGAGTCTGAAACTCCCTCATATACTAATGTTACATATATGTATGCACTTATGACTTTACCCTTCCATATCCAATCTCTCTATCGCTCTAAGGTTTGCTGTTAGAGAACCCAACTCTGGGTTAAGCTCGCCTTTGTACATATTTTTTTTTAATTGTATTTTTTTATAAATGTATGTGTGTGCAATAAAGTATAATAATGTATGTATAGATTTTTCATACCATAAATCTGTACCACATTTTATTGATTGATGGTTTTCCCCCTTCAAAAATCTCATAAAACTCCATAAGAATTCATGTGAGCAAGTCTTTGATTTCAATTATTTTTCTGTGTCTAACTATTAGTTTCACTATAAAAAAAGTATTGACTTAGACTCATTGTCAAGATCCCAATTCATCAAATTATAAATTTCCTTATTTTAATACAGGGACGTGGAAGAGAAGTTGCGGTCAAAATGGGTGGCGCTTAAAGGTCGGAGTAGTGCGGACTGCGTGCGGATCTACCTCAACTGTACGAGGAAATGGCCTTTCTTTGGTGCTACACTGTTCCAGGCTAGAGTGAGTAGCTTTCCTTTTTCTTCTAATAAACATTCATGTAGGTTTTTTTGTTCCAATAGGGATTTTGCATTATACAAGTTTATTTTTATAATGGAATCAAATACTTTCTATATATACATATTTATTTCGACTTTTTTTATGTAATAACTCGGCAGAGGAGCAGACGGATTACCTGATGGTAAGCAATCACGCCGCCCATGGACACCTGCATCGGAGGAGTTACGAGTGCGTTGCCGACCTTTAAGGGATTAAGATTTTGGAAATTTCGGGATTGGGGGAGGGGAAGGATTGTGCCGCCGGTAACCTCACTCACACGGCGAAACACAACGCTGTGATTGTTTCACGCCGGTCGAGCCGACCCGTTCGTGCATGGCTCTCCCACACTTAATACTGGACTCGACTCGACTGATCGAAATATCATATTATCACAAAGACATCACATGATGCACATTTTCAGTACATTTTATATTGAGAGTTTACGTAGCGACCTCCCACTCCTAAACTTATCTAAGTGTTGTTTTCTTATACGGCAATATAAAAATATTCTTATGTAAAATAAATATTCATAACATTTTTACCGATACTAATTCCTATGCTGTTGATATAGAGACAAATTTAAAGCGTGATTCGTTCTTTTGTACGTATAGATAAAACAGCCGGATCTATCGATGGTATGGCTGGCAGTATCAGAAGATGGCGTCACGGTGTTAGAGCTAGCGTCCATGGCCGTTATAGGCCGGTACGCACTCAGCTCTATTGGACTCTTTGGTGGATTACAGGTAAGTTCGGCGCGGAAAAAGCTAGGTTTATTATAAAAAAAAATTATAATAAACCTAGCTTTTTCCGCGCCGCTTTTTCTTTAGCCGCGGCCCTAGCTTAAAGCAGGAAAAAGAACGGTGTGGTTTGACAACAGACTCTTACTGACTGTAAGAGTCTGTTTTCATTCTGACATTTCAATTGACTTTCCTCGCCCCGCTAACGGCGATATACTCGCCGTGTAAAAAGAAAATGAGCATTTGTGACAATTAGTCCGTTGGTCGACGTCACAGAATCCCTAAGGTGTAACAGCGATAACGCCCCACGTGTTTTTATACAAACTTTCAAGAAACAATCTTGGAAACTACGGATCGAACCGATTTTTATGCATAAATACTTTTTTGGGAATATGGGTCGTTACTAAGCAACCGTGTAGTTTTCAAGAGAAAGAAGGGTTCTTCAGTTTTAAAAATGTTAATTGAATATAACTTCGTTCCAGGATGATCTGATGATGCTAATCGACGCCGAAGACGCAGCGAGTCCAGTACACAAGATGTTGATTAGTCTCAACAAGCCAAAAGTAAGAAATGTTTCATTTGTTCGTACTATTTTGACAGTGGACGTTTTCAAACGTAATACGTATATGTGTAACTCGCATCGGATGAATAAGTGTCAAAACTGAATGAAAAATTCAGTTCTAATTGTACCATTTTCTTTAACAGATGGCAGAGCTAACGCACCTAATAGCGGACTACAAGAACGCCCTCCTCCGCGGCGGAGGGCCGGGCACGCCGCAGATGAACTCCCTGACCCGCAACGGCAGCCACCGGTCGGTGCGCAAGGCCACGTCGTCCTCCCTGCCGCACTCCAGCCCCTGCACGCTGCAGCACGCCGCGCACGCCGCCCACGCCTCGCACGCCGCCGGCACGCTCACGTCGCACGCCACCACGCTGTCGGACCGCAACAACACGCTGACGCTGAGCTCGCACTCGTACTCGCACGAGCGCCAACTGGCGCACGGCCAGCCCGACATACTCAAGTCCACGCCCGACCACCACCGCGCCGACAAGAAGCGAGCGCATGCGCACGACTCCAGCGTCGCGTGACTACCGCCCCGCCACCCCCCGCATCCACATTAGGGGACGGCCTTGGAGCGACTGCTTTGGGAACAAGGCGTGCTGAGGTAACTCATTCTTTAAACTTGTGCGAATTCTTGCCCAAGTAGACTATACAATCTTTACTAACGTGTTATTGAATGCGTTGTTATACTAGCATCACACTTGTCCCAACTAACTCTCTTGTACAGTGTAATTATGTAAAATTCTCAAAGCGGTCGCCTCATTATAACGATTATTATTTATATTGGAGGATAGAAAATGGCCCGCAAACAAAAACTAAGATAGCATTCCACCAAATATATAGTACGATGGGAAATAAACGAAATATTAATATACCTCATATTTTGTAGCGAACGATTCAGCCTATTTTATTGGCTTTTTAATGATGATAGATTAAAAAATAGTTTATAGTTTATTTTTTCAGCGTAATATTGTTTGAGATGTTGCTATGCTACGATAGTGGTTTCGGCTTGATGTGTAATGATATGTATGTACGATTCGTATGAATGTCTCGATGTTTATATGCAGTTTAAATGCCAATTTTATACATGTAGTTGTATATGTACGTGTACAGGGCGCGATAAATGGTACCTAGAATATATTCATAGCGAAATTTCCTGTATATTTTTTCGACAGTATTCTTCTATACATGCTTCGAGTTACACATTACAGCTAGAGGCAGATATTATTATTATTTCGAAATATACTTATATCCGTTTGATAGCTTTTTATACAAATATGGATATTTAAGCACAAAGCGAAGGGAAATAGTGTATTTGAGTGCTATTTGTAAATGATACATTTATCTAACCCTGTACTAGTTAGATTGGAGTCCATTTAGCATAATACCCGGGGCGTCCGGGAGATTCTAATCTTTTGTACTAACTGTGCTAGTTCGGGTAGATCTGTTCTTTCATTCGACTGACATGGGAGTGATTGCACTGGCGTTTGATATGACTGAAAGAGACAAAATTTATATTATTGAAAAACAAAACTGGTGGTCATACTCTAAAGAGAAACGATTAAAAAGAGAAATGTATTAGAGTTGTTATAATAAGCTTGCAATCCTGACATAAATATCAATGTCTAACATTTTCTTTATTTGGTATATTTAATTTCAAATGTGTTGTAACTTTTATTTAAGCCATTATCCGACAGTTTACAGTTGAGAGCAAATCCTCCACTAGCGTGGCTCACATGTTGTCCCCCATGGCGTTCAGCGCAAAAATAGTTAATTTATATAAGACTTTTTAGACTGCAAAAAAGGTTAATAATCATAAACAAATATATTCTTGAGAAGGTTGAGCTCAGGTTGATTAAAAAAAGTTGTATTGAACGCCAGTGCATCCGCGGCCTAATAATAAAGGTGTGGACACGTGCTAGTGTGAATCTCAATGTAGAATGTACATATGTAGAATCGGCTTCACATATTTTCATATACACATTCTTTTTATTTAACTATTTTTGTTTATATTAGAATAACATTTGCAATAGTGCCCATAGGCTTAAAAAATTGGTTAAATATTACTTTGTTGAATATAATGGATGTATTAGATTTTTGAGCGACATTGCCGAGCTGAACGTCTTTGGCTTGACTTACGTATAAAGTGAAGTAAAGAAAAAAAAATTAAGAAAAATGTCTTAGCCGATACTTTTTTATGAATGTTAAAAATTGATTTAAAAATTCAAAACGAACCCTTGGCAAAGAAAGAAGCTCATGCTATCAAAAATCTAATACATTTAATGATCATGACATAATTTCGTATTATTCTAAATTCAACCTTGAGACACACTCATAAAGTCGTAATTGGTAAATCTGTATGTCTGTAAAAGTGATATATACTTATGGACTGATATATTTAAAGATCTTTCAACGAATCTTAACAATTATTGTTAACGTCTAAACGACCAATGAACCCGAAAAGCGAGGTAAAATATTTTTACTCTAATAAATCTTAGAATCTCAATATTTCTTAAATTTCAACCTTATTTCTATAGTCATAAGGCCCTCTGTTTATTGAAGAGGTCCTTTTATTTGTGATCTGTTAAAATTGGACTATATTTCGAATTTTGCTGATATTATTACTTACAATGTTATACTGACAGAAATGTATTATTTGAAAATCAATCTTATACACAATTGATAAAGTTGAAAATCACAAGACCGACCAGATTTATATGTCTTTGTCAGTATAGTAAAGTAATATAGGTATTTTCATGCATAATGTCGTATAAGTTATGTTTTGTATTTAAATTATATTAAATATATATTTTATTTAAAAAATGATCTGTATTGTAATATACATAGGGTATTTTTTGTATATTTTTGGCATCTATTTGTTCAGAGTTCCGTGTGAATACGAAATATATTAGTGCAATTAGTTGTAAACAGCTTAATATACTTTTTAATTTAAACATCACATAGACTTAAGACGACCTTTTGGCAGAGGCATAAGGTTCTAAATTCTTTAACGAGATTTAGACCCCTTAGTAACCAACATTTGACGCCCTGATCACTATCAGGTCTTTCGGCCTAGACCCTCAACACACCTATATACAAGTAATATACAAACACATATTTTGTATATAAAAAAGATATAACTAATCTGTAACAAAGAAAGTCTACCACGGAACTCGGAAACAATATAATTTATACTCAATTAGCTTTCATAGAAATTTACACCATTTTTTTGTAATAATAAAAATAATTATTATTATTATTCAAAGATTTCGTTACCATCTTATTTCTTTTTGACACCGTATCTTGCAATAAAGAAGGTTTTAAAACAATGAAAGAAAGGGACGGCGTATTTTCGTTTCGTATTGTAGATACTTAGTAACTTTATTTGGCTTGAAATATAATTCTAATGATCTTCTTTATTGCATAGATATTACTAACGGGCTAATTGTAAAAGGCTACAAAATGGCGGTTAAATAGAGGTAGTTTTGTAATTCGTAGACCTAGACCATAGAAGCTAAATGAAACGGTATACTTAATTGTAATTTTGACCAATTCGCTTCCATGGCCTATCTATCCGAGCAGACTCGAAAACAAAGCTTGAGAAAACTACAAAAATCGTCTTTAATTGCAACATTTTTGTAATTTTTCGAAACATTTTCTCTTGACACGCGATTATAGCCTTTGTAAGTCCGAAGCTAGAATATAAATTGTGTTATAAGGGTATCCCAATAAAGGCTAAAGTCGCGTGTTTCAGTCTGCAATTTTAGTAAATAATTGAATAATAGGTACCATCATTTCGATTGCACTTTTTGCATAACACTAAACTGTTGATATAATTATGTATAGAATATTATTATAATGTATATTTTACATTAGAACCGAAATTAATTTTATTATAATTACTGTAATAAGAATCCATAACTTATTTTCTAAGTATTTATTCTATTTTGTTTTTTTTTATTGGTTGATTTTTCTTTTTGGAATAATTTTTTGACGAATCCTCTTTTGTTAACGATGGCCTAACTAAAGACTAACCATTCGAGGCCTAAAATTGGATTATTTGTAGATTTATATTTTGAATGTATTTAGACGATTTTTTGTTTGATGATGCGAGAATAAACTTGTATTACTGAATTGTTATTTTATTCTATTACTCCTAAAATAAACCTAAAACACTACTCAAGCTGCATGGTTGGCGCAACGTGTCGCGGGTTCAATTCCCGCACGGAGCAACACTTTTCTGATCCAGAAATTGTTGTTTCGGGTCAAGGAGGTTTGTGTGTGTAAAATTATGTTTGTAAACACATCCACGACATAGGTGAAACTACAAATGTAGGCCACGGTTTCATATAAAAAAAGATACTTATTGGGATGGTATCCCAAGTCGTAATTAGACATCATGGTGACACTGGCGCAACTGTCTGTCTGTGAGCGCAGTCAGTCTTGCAAGCAATCTTATTGGAACGAGCTATTTTTAATTTAAAACTCCTATGTTGTTGCGGGTGTCCATGGGCGGCGCTAATTGCTTAACATCAGGTAATACGTCTGCTTGTTTGCCGTATCACGTAAAAAAAGGTTTAGCTTGACACATTCAAATCTATGGATAATCCTTCCCCTCCCCCGATCCCTCCCCAATCCCTTAATCTCCAAAACCCTAATCCCTAAGAGGTCGGTAACGCACTCGTAACTCCCCCGTTGCAGGTGTCCATGGGCGGCGCTGATTGCTTACTATCAGGTAATCCGGTAGGTATCAGGTAGATCGGCAAACGATCAGACGATCGTTTGCCGATCTATTATTACATAAAAAAAATCTCGTTTTAGAAACTGGTTGATAAGGATAAGTGGAGTTAATGAAGATATATATAGGAAATTATCATTTCAGAACGTTAACGTTGTGAAGCTGTAGGTAAATAAAAAAAAACTTTTACACAGATAAAATAGATTAAGTATTCAACATAAGAACATTTCAACAAAAAAAACACATTTACCTATTCAAATAACATTTATTATAAAAAAAATGAAAAATATCACTTTAGTAGCTACCTGTTTGTTTTAGTATAATTAAAACCTTTTCCACCGTTCATTTCCCCCGTAACCTTTTAGAAATATTTTATAATGAAAAATAAGATAGAATCGTTATTATCTATCAACTGAAATTAATAACCGTATTTAATACAAAAATCTAGGTACATTGATCTCGTTTTTGATAGAAACTCCTGACAAAAATCGAATATATTGTCCACAGATTTTGCTTGATTTTCATTTAATTTAATTACAAATATTTCAAACATGCTACATCTATAGCCAAATTGTAAATAACGACTTGCTCTTGTAATATAACTGAAGAAAAGCTCTACTAGTTTTAAGTAACTTAGGTATTCTTCTTTCTTCTTCAGATCACTGAGTCAAAACTAGTAGAAGTTTCCTGAAGCTAATTCAAATGAGAAGGTCGTTATTTTTGAATGAATTTAGTAGATATGTCTCACTATATAATAACTACTTATACCAAAATATTATATTTCTTTATTATTTGCTAAATTCAAAATCTTCAACTTTTTTCAATATTTTAAATTGAAGGATTAAAAACAAATTCTTCTAGTCTTACATCCAAAGCCTTCAGTATTGTTTCAGTGTCATACGGCACCGCTGTAAAACGAAATACAAAAATAATTGATACAGATTTCGGTTAAATAATAGAATTTAAAACACATGTACCTACGTATGTGCTCAACTCTGATATAAAAACAATTTATATAAAATTTCGGTTTTTTTTGGGAGAGGAAAATCATCAACTTCCTTTTCTCGCCCAGGGTGAGGCGAGAGGTCGTGTTAGACTCTTACTGACTAAAAACCCCCCCGTTCCTGGTCCTGTTCTAGCTCGAGGCCCACGGCGAGAGAAGACATTTGATGATTTTCCACACCGCAAATAAACAAAAAAGCGTTGATAATATGAATGCCCTTAGTCTGAGTATGCCTTTTCCTCGTACATTAACGCCCTCCTAAACTCAAAAACGGGTAGGTATTAATTTGTTGTATTTAATTGTGTTCTATTTAATTAATCTATATATATAAAAATGAATCACAAAATGTATTGGAAAGCGCATAACTAAACAACGCCTGGCCCAATTTTGCCAATTATTTTTTTGTTGTGTTCGTTATTGCCAGAAGAAGGTTCTTAATGTAAGAAAATGTTAGAAAAGTAGAAGCTGGAGGAGTAGCTAGTAAAATATATAAAATTTAAAATTCCATTGTAACAGTGGAAGAACTATCACGACTAATAATACTTATGAAGAAAGAAGATACTCACGTATATAGATGAATTCGTTGGGATCGTAACCAGAATCCTTTCTGGATTCCATGATACACTGGCGCAGGGCGTGCGTTATTCCGTGAGCTATACCAACTCCCATCTCACCGCAAGCTGGAATAGCAGCATAATTTACAGCTTAACTAGACAAATCTAACGCAATAGTATTGTAAATAACGGTCCGAGATTCAGAATTCTTTTTTCGGTTTTCATTAGGGTTTATTTTACAAATTGACAAACACATCACATCCAGATCCGAAACAAAAATCTGTGGATCACTCAGAGTAAGTCATTTACATCAAATCTTCAGCCTATAAGTGTCCACTGCTGAGCAAAGCCTCTTCTCACACGGCGAAGGTTTGAGCATGAATCACCACGCTTGCTCAAGGCGGATTTGCGATTTCAAATTTATAATTAAGAATTATAAGTCCAGGTTTCCTCGCGATGTTCTCCTTCACTGCCTGTCTGTGGTGTCTAAATAATCATAGAAAGTATAAAAAACTAACTCGGAAAAAGTCAAATGGTACTTGCCAGGCTGCGGGCGCCTTAACCTCCAGGCCACCACACGCCATAAAATGCTTAGGTATGAAACGAAGTTGTGGTAACCTTAATCAAGGTAGTCCACTAAGCAGGAATTTTTTTAACAATAAAATA